TGTATGATACTTGCGTGGGTGGATCCAAGCTGGGAATGCGAGGTCTATCACGCCTTTCTTATCAGATTGTGTGTAAACCACAGTTATGACAGTGTGACAATCTTCTATAGAAGATAGAACATACAGGATGAACGTAGGGTGAAGCGTTCACTATAGCCTATGGCAGATAGAACATTCCCAGCTAGAAACGACGAAGTACTTACGGGTCTAGCCACGTCAACGCTACTCAGCAACACTGGAGACGACTGATTCGAAGAGCCAGAAGATGTCGCGCGCCCGCTAGCGCTTTCGGGGTGGTTGTATGCAGAGAGGGCGGCGGCGGGCCGGGGCATTCTTGCGCGCTTTCTCGCGCGGACTAGGTAAAGCCGGTGGGCATGGGGGGTTGCCCACGTACGGAAGCATCATACAAGCCATTTTTACGATGTCGTAATGCTTGTGGTTTACGTGACGCACTCGTGGCTCCGTTCTTCGGGCTCCGCCCTCGTGTTCTATTTAACGGAGCCACTCGTGCGTCCCGTAAACCACGCGCCGACATCGTACAACTATAACATGGAGAGCTGTAGCACTTGAAAACCATTCATGCATTTGAACTTGAAAATGTGTAGAGTAGCAAACGTGAGAGTGGAGACAATTTGTTCAGGTAGCTACACCTTCATTCTCTGCTCTACCTACAACTTGATCTCATTGTCCCACCTACTCACAGCCATTATAAGGAATGCAACTCATTTTTGGCATACAAACGCGAGAGTTGCTCACACAACAATGCATGTCCACGATATATTATTTCTTCAGTATGACCGTGCCCTCGTCAGAAAACATTAAGATAATAGAACAAGAACAGCTAATAGTTCTGAGTTCAAGTATTGTCTAACACTGAAGACTGCTGCTTGGCCTCTGTTAGTGCTCTTGAGGAATGAACACACACCTCGAAATGCACCCCCTGCAGATAATGAGTATAGACGTGAGAACTTGTGTGTCAAGGCAGCAGTGAGTTGGCATGGGTGATGAAATTTACACAGGCCTGCCAACTGATGACTCTGTCTAAGCACAATAGGGAATGCATCGCTGATCAGAAAATTTCCCACCAAAAAAATTGTGGGGAATTTCATGGTATGCATAAACAGTGATTACACCGAAGAGTGTATGATGCTCTGGTATATACCTGGTGTGCTGCTGCCCTAACAAAACCTCCATTTGCAGTGAGTGTCAAGGTACGGAGTGTGTCTCCACTGCCAAACACTATCTGTGGTGGCAAAATTAGATCACTCTCTGTGATGGATGTCCATTGTGTGAATTGCAGGAACTAACCTTGGCTCTGGGGGTGATTCTGTGACTGACAGACAGTGTCATCGCTCGCGGTGATGGGCAGTCATCCACTACCTCAACCATAGCCAATAGAGATCTTCAATGAGACGGCAAAACAGAGGTGAACAACACAAATACACCATACACCTACAGGGAAACTCTTTTTTGCATGGAAAAAAGAGCTGCCTACTGTACAGAACCCACGAAACATTCTTAGGCAAGCGCTGAGCAAAAAGCACAAGATGAAGGAAAGCCTCAAACAACAGTGCAATAGCACAAAATACTCCCACTCACCACGTACAGTAAAATACACTGTATAGCTAGTATCAAATCTTATGGAAGGCCGTAAGTAGGACATAGTCAAGCTACCATAATTCAAGGAGTTGAAACATGATGAACTGAACGTTTGTAAAAGCATTACAGTCAAACCTTGCCCTGGCCTTTTCCTGCTCTCCTCCTACCTTACCCACTATGTCAGAAAACCCATCAGCTGCTGTGCGACAGGCCATCAGTTTCTTACTGCACACAGAATCGAAGGTAACATCTGCCAAGATCTACCTTAGCACCTACCAACACATACAAAGTAAGGGAACAAACACTAACACAAGCATCAACTGCACACCCAATCTCACCAATCTTCCCTAGCCTGAACACACAAAGAAGCACAGTAACAATAGTGTCATCACCTCTGGTAGCTCTCTGTAGCTGAGGCCACAGTGGAGACTGGCGTTCTTGCTCTGCCTGCCTCATTCAGTATCCTCTCCTTCATTCAAATCAAACAACAACTCCCTATGACACACAGCCACATGACATATGGGGCATCGCATCATTATTGGCGAGCGAATACGACTTTGAAATGTCAGCTGTTTTACAACATGAAAAATAATATGTCGTAAAACCACTGACATTGGGTTTTAATAACAGTAATACATAAAAATAGCATATTTAAGATGAAAGGTGGGCTTTGCTTTTAAAAACAAAGTCATAAGTTTTCCTGCAGTTATGTCTCAATGGCCACGATCATGGAATACTCTTGTACAGATGGCTCTAAAACAAAATTTCACAAAGGTTGTCGCTCTACAAGTACTAATTATCACACCATGGTTCAGTATAGACTGGTGCCCACCTGGAGAGTGTACATCTCTCCACCATGAGTCAGGGAGGAGACCCAGGCCAACATTGACGACACATCCAGGTTCACACGCTCACTGTAACAACAAAATTTGCACGAGAATTTCTAATGTCTTATTCAATGTCCAGTAGTATAAAACACACATGAGTACTAGAACGAGTGGCACACATTTTTGGGTGAGCGAGCGTGAGCAGTTCAAATTTGTGCGTGTATTGAAAATCACGTAAACGTTATGTGCAGTGCCTGTGCAGTTCCGGCCACAAAGAACATTTAGTGCTATACTAATTATGTCCGCATTTATATGAATATTAGGCATGGTTCACTCACCAATAACAAAAAGAGCAATCTTATCATAATTTTAATGCCTGGTCCAGGGTCTGCCCACTATAGATATTGGTGCTCTGGACTCAAAACACCACTTACCAGTCGGTGTTTGTAGGTTCCAGTCTAGCCACAGGTCTCTGGACAAGGGTGTCTGCTGTCACAGTGAGATAATTCTCCTTCTCTAAGTCCTTCCCTGACCAGTGACATCACGTGGTGAAAAGAGGGTGTGTCTTCCGTGGCCTCATCTGGATAGACTGGACCCACCACCTCTATCCCATTGCTCTCTAGCACACCTGGGGACATCAGCAAGGACTCCTATGGTTAAATATCTAACAAGCTGCAGTCATCAAATCAAACGGGTTGAAATAATTATTATCGTGCTATGTTTAGGAATAATAGGTATGATATGCAAACCGATCTTTGGGGCCACACAAATTTTAAAGGGAATGCGGCCATGCATAAAGGCTAAATTAGAAAGATAGAGCTCAACACTAAGGTCCATGCACAAATGCCGTTAATTTTCTGTTTTCGGTTACACTTTCTATATTTAGTACTTATAATTCCCTCAATTATTAATTGTATCATTCCGAGCATTACGGCAGTGCGGATTTAAGCCATGTTGGATATGTGCTGATAAGCTGACCTGAGACACTCTCTGTGATTCCATCAAAGAAGACGAAGGATATTCTGGGAGGTTGGAACTTGCGCAAGTTCTGTTTCCCAGTTTCTACATACTCTGTGGCTATGTCACCCACTGACTTATCACCAAACTGTCCATCTCCTGCAGAAGTAGAATTTCAACAGCTATCACTGCTAGCAGTATTAGGTTTGTTCCCTTTATGTAACCACACAGTTACATTTCCTCCCAGGTTTATATATACACATGGAGTTGAAGTTGCCCTGGAAGCTCAGCGATGTAGAGTGGTCGCCTAGACTGCAGAGCGACGTGGGTTCAAATCCCACCTAGGGCAGCTCATCTTTTTTTCTTGGAAAGAAAGGGCTCTCCTGGGTGTAGTTGATTTGTTTGTGTTCTTGCCTTACTACCTATCCTGAGTTGCCCTGGTAGCTCAGTTGGTGGAGCGCTCGCCTCACTGCAGAGCGTCGTCTTTTTTGAAAAAATAGTTGATTTGTTGTTGTGCCTTTGCTTTTCTATTTCACATGCGAGCACATCGAGGAGAAATACCAGCATATTGTGTGCATTACACCCAGGAGAGCTCTTTTTTCAAGTATGGTATGTGCTAAGTTCTATTTCCATCACAGAAGTTAAGTGGGGTTTGCACATTGTAACAAAATAGCTGTTGATGCATGTAATGAAGAATGCATCACACCCCATACACTTACCCAGCCACCTGCGGTGGAGTGCAGATGCTTTCCTACAGAAGACTCTGACCCATCTCCCTCCTCCTGCAACCACCACATCTACTTGGACACTCACCTACAGCAGACGGTCCTAGTTTAACACATGCATGCAAGAAACACAGTGCGCGGAAAGTCAGCCAACACCCCTTATATTCTAGCATTATTCTCAAATGTTTTTCATTGCCTATATATTATTCGGACATAATTTTATTCATCCATACACACACTTCCATACACAAATGGCTCTCTTCATGGAAAACGAGAAACACACCATGCTAACAAATATGCAAAGTGAGTCAACTGTATATATACCAACGTAGCCAAAACAAGATGGTTAGGGTTCATTTTCCAAGAACTAAGGGTATATCCATCACCCTCTGTAAAGGTATGATGGGTGTGTTAGAAGAGAATCACTGGAAACATGCATCCAAGCACTGCTAAGGCGGTGCATCTACAGTTAAAACTGGGCCTGGTGATGAATACTGTATGTACAGGGGTCATTCCGAGGCCAGGGACTAGTGTGAAGCACTGCTGGACTGCCGCGAGGTCTCTGTCTCCAGCGCTATCTCCAGCACTGACTGGATGTGGGTGAGGTTGGTTGAACTGAGGTGAGTGTCTCTGAGAGCCGTATGCCCACTCAGAATCTGTGGGGATGAGACACAAGACAAGCGCTGGAGTATTTAGTGGTTGTAGTGTTATTACAGAGTCCAGGAAACCTTTCTCAGCCTTGATCTTTCTCTCGACCCGCTGGACACCTCCTACCTACAAAGATAGTACCAGGCATTGCTGCCGTCCGTACTGAAGTGTGGCCATTGATTGGGCTCACGTTTCTTCCGAGTCTCAACTTTTGTGCCTGCACCAGTAGCCTGCTGGCCAGTTCACTCCTCTCACGAATAGTCTCCAGCCCCGTAGATCTGTCCTCGCTACAAGCTGCCATCGGTAGGTAGTATGATAGCTGGACACTGCTCTGTACTCCTCTATTTGATGCGCATTGCGCATACAAGTAGATGGGCGGGGCTCGTACGTGCTATAGATGGGCGGGGCTGGAAAGCAAATACGAAATTGGGCGGGGCGCGGCCGGCCGCGCCGTTCCAGTCTGCTGAGAGGTGGGGCTGGTTTTAGTCGTCGTTGCAGAGCCAGACTGGGCACTACAGATGAAGGGAGCACCTGCCGCGGTCGATATTGGTAAGTGTTTTGGGGGACTCGCGTTCAAGCTATTAGCTATACCGCTGTGCAGACGGGCGCCAGGTGCACATTGGGTCCGCGGTGCAGCTAAATTGGCTTGGGTTTGGTACGAGGGCTTGTCGTCGAGATTGGACCAAAACGAAACCTCTGTAAGGTAAGTGAACTCTAGCTACATGGCTGGAGTGTGGTAATAATATGAGTGTCTCACATTAGGTTCGTGATGCAAAGAGCAAGGAGACGGTTCTGCTTGAGAGCAGTCACCTTCAGCTCAGAGACGATGGAGTGGCTGACAAGCGACTGGCAACTGGGGCACGGGTGGTGTACAGGGATGGAGAATGCGGGTGGGAAGGAGTGGTAGAGACCAGGTCTGCTGTGGGAGCAATCTTAGTCAGGTCAGATCGTCAGTAACCCTATCTCTTCTACTATACTGGTGGAGTATAGCCAGGTTAAATTTTATATGCTCTTTGAGTGGTGCAAACACGAGGGTGTTTTCCTGTAGACACCGTTTGCAAAACGATCTTAGCAGTGTAATGCAGCATGCTAAACAATAATTATTGGCAAGTGAATAGCTTGGTATCAGCTTTTTGTGCCACTATACTTTGCAGTTGGAGGAAGTCTGGTTTATCAAAGGAAAAACTGACGTGGTTTGAGCTCTCTCACATTGCCCCCATCATCCACAACGAACTGTATGTTGAGCACAACCAAGACATACTGAAGGCACGGAAGAGTGGACTCCTGCACAATGATGCAATCGAACCACGACCTCGCACCATGGACAACCTGCTCTATGAGTCTGGATCGGATAAAGAAACGGAAACCCTCACCAAGTTAGCTGCTAGCAAGAGATACATGGCTCAACGCAACAGGGGTAAGGATAGCAGCAGTCACTGTTTTGAGGGGGAAAGAGTAGCAGATAAGGAGAAAAAACTTGACAACTCGGCACCATTTGCACTACAGCCAGATCCACTGCGGTCATATCCACTTCCCCCTGCAACTGTCTTCATGCCCCTCCCACCCATGATGTCCCACCTACCAATGATGCCCCTCCCACCAATGATGCCCCACCCACCAATTATGCCCCTCCCACCAATGACGCCACACTCCAATAGCTACATGTCTCTCCCTCTCGACGCCCACATGAAATCCGCGTCATCATTCACGAGTGCACCTGGTGACCCACACCGGTCTTCCTCACCCCATCCTCGCTCTCTTACGAGGCTCGGGCAAGCCCAGAGCTCTACTCGTCACTGCATCACAACCTACACCACCTACACCAGTGGAATACCTCCCCACCCTTCATCCAAGTTCTTACAAGGTCTGCAAGATGCTAATATCGGGAATCGAATATCGGGCCGTCGGACAAAGGCAAGGGGAAGGAGATCTACATCAACCCTGTCTCAAACACACTCAGAGCCAACCCACTACCCCAACAAAGTCCAAACTCAACAACAAAGGTGAGGATCATTTTAATTGTTCACAAATTACTGTATTATCACAGAAGCCTGAGGTTCCCAACTTCATCAAAAGAAAAGAGTGTTCCACCAACGCACATGTCCCAACCCACAAGCCACTACTCCATAACCAGCACTCAGTCACAGCGGAGCAAAGACAATCAAGTCTTGGGAAGAAAGAAGACGTGTTCCAGGGTGCCACCTCACCTCTTCGTCCCCGAGCACTTCCTCTCAGCTGAAATCTGACACTGACGATAGCCGACTCAACAGCCCCACTCAACCAGGGGGAGTGAGATTGGTTCGAGAGAGGGATGCATAGTGGGTCAGGTGGTAATATGGGTGAGAGGAGGCCTGAAATGGAAGTGGCTACAGATGATGAGGATGATACAGCCAGTATTCACTGATAACGATGAACACAGTGAACGATAACAAAAGTGAGAAGTCTTAACACACAGCGACTCCATAAAGTCATAAGACTTTGAGCACAATTATTATTATTCCGTGGCACCCAAAGGCGACTAAGCCACAGGTTATCATTCAGCGTGCTTGTTTGTGCAAGCACATTAGTGGTAGTCATTGCTGTACACTAGTAGGTGTGGTGCATGAAAATCACTTCATAGTCGAAATACTAGTAAACTATGATGATATGCCTCTCCGGGAAAGTATGTCATTCATGACTTACAAACAACGACAGGTGATGTGCGGACGGAGAGTGTCGGCAGTCCGCCTATGAGACTGTGTCCCACGGAGCGTCCACCCTCCTGACTGCGTGGCCCAGAGTCAGCACTCTGTCCCCGATCAGTGGCTCAGGAGGGAAACCCATCTCGAACATGGTATATAGCTACGTAATACATAGCTTAGCTCCCCATATGTGTTTTCAGTAGCGTACATTTCCACCTACTACATACAGGATATATAGTGTCGTCTGAAATGAGGTATCACAGGTCTAGTATTCACACCAACTATCATATCAGTAAACCCAAGCAGTAAAAAAGCTGCAGACACCCTAATCCAAGTGTCCAAGTTAAAATACGCATTGTTTCATTAGTCTTAAGTAATGTCTCCAAGTGATAATATTTATTGCCATAGGTGTCTCCTAAATAAGCAGAAAATTGATGTATAACATCTCGCGCCTAGTATATAGCCATATATAATTCTTCTGCACTTATGGAGGCTCTGTGCATATATAGATGTAAATTGCGCCCAAAGGGTAATGCAGTCCACTAAACGGTATCGTTCGTTTGCCCTACAAGACCCATCTTCACTCAGCAGTCACCAGGGATGCATCCGATCCCGATGGCCTCTCTCTCTACCTCACCGGGGAGTACAGGTGTGTCGTCTCCGATGGCCACAGCTCAATCGAGAGGGTATTCCACTTGGAGTTGTGCTCCGGTGAGTGTATATACCAGTCTGTCCTGCTGTACAAACCTAAGAGTAATGTATCATACGGTTTTGGAATCTCCGGGTTAAGCTATACCAGTCCTGTCTTGCTGTTGTAATATGCAAACCTAAGAGTATAGCATTGGATGTACCTCTTTTGGGAATCTCAGGGTCAACAACCGCAGCTTTTACCAACGGATGAGTAAATTGCCATATTGACATACCGTCATAGTAACCCCCCCCCATTTGATTGATGCTTGCAATACATACTACATGTATATATGTATGTCTTGTCTTCAACAAGACACTGGTTTCTGAGGCAGAGGGGTGGAAACTCATGTTGGGAATATTCCTCCTGGGTAAGCATCCAGACCATTGACTGGGTTGTTTAAACCATGCACTCCTGGCAAGGAGCTGTGCCCATTTGGAGGATATACTGACACTGCACATAGTGCAACATGGTCCATTGCTCTGTGCACCCACTCACCCATGTGCTATGGAAAGAGATTGAGCGGGGATTGGTGTATACTACCCATGTTTTAATTGTACTTGTTGACAGATCCATAATTAGCTAATTCAGTAGGAGAAGCCGCCCGATATAATTTTATATATTATTATTATGGTCCTAAATTTTGTGTTTCATGCCACATCCACAGTTGTCGACGATAAGGAAGAGGACAGCCAGTGCTGCTGTGCAAGCATCGGTGGGGAGGTTGTAGTCAGGATCAGAGGGTTAGCGTCACACGGAACAAGAAAGGCGGACGTGAAAATGTGCCCTCTTAATAAAGGACACATTATTAAGGTGTTCCAAGTAGTTTTTCAATCTCCAAAGAGGGGACAACTTCCGTATTAGACAAAGGTAATGCTGGAGCGAGGGGCGTGAGCAGTTCAATATTTCAGTCGCATGTGTAGAATATTACGTAGTGCATTATTAAGGTGATCACCCAAGTAGTTGATTTCAACGTCTCAAAGAGGGGACAACTTGCCGTATTAGACAAAGGAATGCTGGCGAGCGAGTCCGTGCGCAGTTCAATATGTCAGTCGCATGTGTATAGAATATTACGGTACTTTTTAGTGCATTATAAAGGGTGTCCCAAGTAGTTTCAATCTCCAAAGAGGGGACCAACTTCCGTATAGGACAACGGCAATGCTGCCGCGAGCGAGCGCGCGCAGCGTTCAATGTCACTCACATGACGTAGAGCATATTACGGTATAGTGACAGTGCCAGTGCACAGTGCCGTCACACGCAAATTGAAATGACAGGTAGGCTCGCTTCGCTTGCCAATAAAGGACAAAATTCCTGGTTGCAACGTGTCAATCTATCCATAGTTTCCACTGTACGAATGCAGGGACACCTTCCAATGAGCACACGGTTCATGACGTAGTTACCATTTACTTTGTCAGTAAGAACATGCCATTTGCGCACATTTTCTGCTGACTCCAGTCCAAATCGGGTATATTTTCTGTGGGTGAAGCTATAATAATGCAATCTAGTATGCTACCATATCATACCGTTTACTGCAGGAAGGAAGAAACGGTTCTTCTGTCACAAACATTTGCCCAAGAGTAGATCTTGCATAGCACATAATTATAGTTATACATACAACTGTATCGGGCATACATACAACATGCATTTATGTTGGTGTGCTGCATGACTGCAAGAGCGGAGTTTATAACGATCTATGTTTTTGTGAACACTCATCACTCTAGCCACAGACTTCATTTCCTCGTCGTTATTCGTCTTCTGCATCACACCTTACGGTAGCGCTCTGTACAGCTTTGTCGACCTCAGCTCTCACTGCCACTCTTCCCCTGCCCACAACAGCAGGACCCGATGAATATCTTGACAGATGACTTGGAGGAGGAATGTGGGATGGTGTTTTGCGGCGGCTCCGTAGGCTCTCCCATAGCGCTAAGCGGGTTCAGCTGCGACGCGTAGGATAATTAGAGCGTGGTCTATATAGGGATGAGCGGTTGAAATCTCACGTGATCCGCGTACAAAACGCCTCAAAAACTCGCGCAGAGATGACTCACTACGGCTTCAAAATCATAGCAATAGTCTAGAGGCCAATACCTAGCTATACATATTCCCCAAGACTTCGTACGTGCCCTCAGTTCCAACGAGAGAATTCGCTCTTAGGCGATTTCGTGATTTTCGTGTCATCATAATTATTCTTCATCTTCTTCTTCTTCTTCTTCAGACCCGCTAGCTCCTTACCGGAAGCAGCTTGAAGCGTTGATTTTTCACAGAACGTCTCGAATTTGCCGGAGGTGTGCACGCCTATCAAGCGATCGTTGTTCTTTGGCCGCAAGTCCACTACGGTAGGTCGTTGAGCTCTTCCTCGGTAGTCACTGAACAACGCCATTTGCTGGTAACTCAGCATCAGTGAGCCGCATGAGCGCGAGGAGGGCGTTTCCATTGCGGTGCGCGCGCATTTGTCTCGTAAACCTGGTCCGCGACGAGACTAAGCCAGACTGGATGCCTGCAAGAGAAAACTACACTCATCCTCCAGTGCCTTCTGTAATCAGTGTACACATTTGTACTGGCTAGCTTGCGTTTTGCTGTTGATTTGCACAAGGATCAACTTCCAATCTGCGCCGTGTTACGCGTGCCTTGCCAGCGGCCTTCATTTTTTGTCCCCAGGTATAGCTATCATTGTAGTCTGATTCTGAACGCCTGCCCAATGAAAACCACCACCATATGTGCCACAACCCTAATTGCGTCCTTGTTGCAGACACTAGCATAACCCTGCTTCAGGTAGAGCAGTCCATTAGCTTCTGCTTTCAACAGTTACTCTACAACATACCAATGAACATCAGAGTGTGATAATGCAGTGTTTGTCATAAGTCATTAAAATAGTGGAAATAAGTGAAAATTAAGGGGGATATAGGGATGGCTTGAAGCACAAAAGATGAAACAAGGGGTCATTACACACCAAATATGCACAAAGCGACATGACACCATCCATATATCTTTGTTCTATTGTCATAAGCAAACTGTAATATGAGGACAGAGATATAGGGATGGTGTCATGTGACTTTGTGGATATTTGATGTGTAATGACCCCTTGTTCTTCCTTTTTGGTGCCTCAAGCCATCTATATCCCCCTTCATTTTGAAGAAATGACTTTTCCACTTGTATAACCTCCAAGTCGTATGTGACGTTCGGCATTGTCTTCAGAAAGCTCTGCACTCTCTGACAAGCTCTCCCGCCTCCTCGTCGATAATTTCCTGGACTTGGGGCGGAACGTTGCGATCCGAGATGAGGAAACAACTGTACTTAGTGCGTGTCGTTGACGTTCAGGTCGTTGCAAGTACTGGTCTTTCGGTAAGAAGAGAGAGTAGACAACATTATTGTTGCAATCCTAAGTGCAGTCACATCGACGTAGCTACGCGCAATATCTTTACTTTCAATTTTAAGAGGTATTGTAGAGTGTTTTATGCATTACCAGAGGGTGTGTTATACTACATTACAGAGGGTTTGTTAATCTTTATTCCTCTTTCTCTCCAGTCGTACGAAGCTGGCAGTGGTGGATGAGAACAGCGTCCTTATGGTGTATGATGTAACCACCAGAGAGCTCCTCTATCAGGAACCCAATGCCACTAGTGTGGCCCTGGAACTCCCACTGTGAGGTAGAGACAGAGAGACAGATGGGGATTGGGGAAGGTGGAGATTATAGGGGGAAAATTCCTGTGAACTTAGGGCTTTATGGGCATTGCAAAGAGTTTTCTCTCTGTGTATTCTTGAACTCCACTGTATACATGCAATCCACAAACCCTATCTTGAAATTAAGATAGCAAGAGCTTCTCCCATATATTGTGGTACACACACCACCTCTAGTATTATGTTGTTTGTGACTCTCTGTCTCCTGGATATGCTGTGCTATACAGTGGGAATAACATGCTCAGCATCAAAGCCTCAACATTTCCCATCCACCGACAGAAACAAGTGGTCCGTTGGCTCTATACACCTGAGAGCTATCTTTTCTTTCTTCAGGGGTTTGTGGTGGGATTCATGGTGTCCAAGATATTCTGTCTCCACTTCTCTACCATGAAGACCATTGATGTCCCTCAGGTCAGTCACATACACATACCTCTTCCATTCATGTATCATTTCAATTATACTGGCATGTGAGCTTTTGTATATATCTGTTCCTATAGTCAGCCCCCATGGTTCAGTATGTGGAGAGAAAGCTATACAAGTAAGTCGATTCCCCAGTATCTCCACATGTTTCACTGAAATGAACCGTAGGGATCCTATCGCATAGTCTGTCTTGGAGTAACAGAGGAGGACTGGAGACTTCTGGCTCTTGAGGCTTTTGAGGTCAGCTACTTCTCTCACACACATTGATGTGGAGTAATAGGGTAGCATGAGCTTCCGAAGGAAGTAAAGAAGGCAGAGCTTTTTATAGAACTTGCTCTTGTGACTCCTGATGGGTGCTTCTCTCTCACACACATGCTGTGTTGTTTTCCCCGTCCCCTTAGACAGCGGTTGGATCTTGAAGTGGCCAAGAAGTCATTCCTGAGACTGAGAGACCTAAAGTACTTGGAGCGCATTCACAGTATTGAGGTCAGTAGCTACTTTTGACTATACTCCCTCAACTTCCAATACAGTGTGGGTGTGTGTAGGAGAGAAGAAAGAGAGGGGAGAATATCAATGATGTGTTCTTGGCTGATTTCTATGCTTACCAGGTATTTTAGCTGCTAGCTAATGCAGCTTTGGCCTCCAGCTATAATCAATACTCAATTTATTCACTTAGAGCAAATTTGAAGAGGCAGCCCAGCTGTATAGAAAAGCTGATCAGGATCAGAAGGTACTAAGTTACCCCACTTTAGCTACTGGTGCACAGTGTTAAACAGAGTCTTATGTTGTGATGCAGGCTGTGGAGATGTTTACAGATCTCCGTTGAGTTTGAAGAAGGCCAAGCAGTACCTCACTCCAGGGAAGGGGCAGAGGGAAAGATAGAGGAGGGAGGAGTAGTGGCTAATGAGTCCAGAGAACTGCTGAGCAAACAGGCAGAGTGGGCCAGGAACAGCAACAATCCTCAGGAGGGAGAAAAAGCACGGTGAGCTCACATACCTCAAGCTGCCTGGTATGGATTGAGTCTGAGTGGAGAACCTCTAGGCTCTAATATTGACACCAGTGGGACAGAGTGAGGTGTCCTTATTTCAGGGAGTTAAATCCCTTATTTCTTAATGTCTTAGGAAAATAAGAGGTGTCCTCATTTCAAGGGAGTTCATAAAGAAAGGTTATTATACCTACATCATGGTCATTATTTTTGTAATGTTTTGTCCTATTTAGCGATATGTATCTGACAGTGGGTGATCTTAAGGCACTGGAAATCATGGCCAAGAATGGCTGGACTGATAGGTCAGAAAACACCAAACCTTATATTGCACTCACTCGCCCATAATGCATTCTAGTACATATTGACATAATATGTTGTGTACAGGATGGTAAACCTGGCCCATGATGTGGACATCTCCCAGGAACCTCTGCTGCGACTGTGTGCTCGCCACCTCAAATCGTCTGGACATGTATGCAAACCCACCATTGACACGATTGTTGCTATTTTATGTAGTAATACATGTCTCGTCTACTGTCCAGTATTCTCAAGCGGCAGAGGTTTTGAGGAAGAAACTGGGAGACCACAAATCTCTGCCTCCCTCTAAGTCAACTCCTTCCAGTGGGAGAATGTTAGTTAATCTAGCATACATGTGACATATCATTGTATTTACACTTCTATGCAGGCAGTTGGCTTGGTTAGGAAACAGTTCCCTCAATATCGCGTAAGAAACATGTCATTGTGGAGATAGCCTAATAACACAATGTCCAGGGAGATGTGTATATTCCCCTAGTGCGACATGGCTGATAGAGAACGAGAGGTTTGACGAAGCCCAGGAGGTGAGTGCACTAAGCAGATGTACAGTAGATAGTAAGTATTAGTTAGCCCGGAAACACTGTGTGTGATAATAATGTATGTTGCTCTAGTGAGTATATACGTTGTGTGATGAGATAGATTATGTATTATGGATGTTGTTGTATATATGTGTTCAGCTCCGACAAGAGCTGGGAGAGAGGAAGAGGCTCTCCATCTTCTCGAGGAACTGGCGGAGAATGTGTGTGCTGTAGCATTGAGATGCAGGGCACTACATACTGGCTTCTGCAAGTCGTGTCTGAACCACGCAAAAGAGATCATCTTGGTTAGATACTCAAACCCTTGCACAATTGCACCCTAGCTCTACATGACACCACTAGCATTAGTGCACTTATTGCGCGTGGCACAGATAGCCTTCTACACTAGTATCATCTACAGAGTGCACACATAGCATAATGGACAGTGTTGTGAAGTGAGAGGACCATGTGATTTACATACTGGACTGTAGATCCAGTGGGAGAGTCAGTGGAAATGGAGCAAAGCACGTGTCAAGTTCAGACCTTTCCTGAGTCGTTCTCTCAGAGAGCTATCACAGTCTACAGCGCACAAGTCCACCAGTTCATTGTAAGATATTCTTCTCTTTTGCTGCACATGACATCATAGCCACACTCATCTAAAGTCACATTGACAGTGATGTAATCTGTGTTGGGTACAGGACCAACGTTCACCAATAGTTCCCTGACGTCTTCCTCAACTGTGCCAACTATCTCCTGTACAAACTCTCTGACCCCAGAGGAATCCCAAAATGTATCCACACATCACTAAATCATTACGCTTAGGGTTTCGGACCTTACCTGTTGCTTTTTGGTGCTTCGAAGCCATCCCTATATCCCCCTTTATGTATTTATTTTTCCACTTGTTACTCTTAGGATTTCGGATCATCCTTGGAACACTGCACTATCACGTCGCAAAGCTATCTATTCTAGTAATGCAGCACACTGCAACGAGTCGCATTGCCAGCCTTTGCAGTGTATGTTATTGTGAACCTCCTTCATAAACACACTTGTAATACCTGTGTTAATGGTGAATGCGAGATGAATTGGCTGAATGTTTGAATTCTGGACCACTGCTGATCCAGTGCTGTTCTGTTTACTCTGGCCAGCATGCCAGACAGACTGGGGACCTTCAGACTAGCCAGACATGCTCTGGAGAAGATGCAGGTAGAGCTACACACTGCTGTTGACGTTTTAAAAAAATCTTTGGGATGCATGCATGCATAATGTAATGGTCTTATGTTTGCCATACTCAGTCCCTTAGAGTGCCAGCCAATCTCCAGAGTTGTGGACAGAATGAGTCTCACCATCAGATCCAAACCATTCCAGGACAAAGGAGGTAGTAAGCTGCATACACATAGCTTACTCAACCTTATATCACTAGCTATCTACCTATTACCAACTGGGCCAACCATGCATTGTTGTGTTAGCTTAAAATGTGTGCCACTTTTATGGTGGTTGGTGTAGATGAGACTTTGTTGTAAGAGTTGTTTGTGTCTGTGTCCACAGGACCTTCTCCCCATGTGCTATCGCTGCTCCACTACCAACTCTCTACTGAGACAGACTGGAAATGCTTGCACCTCGTGTAGACAACCTCTTGAGTTCTCCTTCGTCTCCTTTGGTTAGTCCTTGAGCAGAGATCAACCCTTACTCTTCTGATGCATTGTTATTCCAGAGCCTCTTCCAGTGGTGGAGTTTGTGCTAGAGGAAGGAATCAGGTCAGATAACAACACCTTACCTAAAAAAAAGCCTAGTCATATTTGATGCTGCATCTGTCTGCTTTAGCAATAGCTGTAACTAAAAATGTGTTTGTCTGCAGTGATGAAGAGGCAGTGAGACTGATACAAATGGAGCCTCCACAGAAGACGACAAGTGGCCCAGTTATCACAGATGAAGGCAGTATCCATCCATCCAGTGTACTGTAGGGGTTATGTGTGCTGTGTGGACTGTGTCTTTGTGGCAGGTTATGTTCCTGACAGTATGTATACAGCTATCAAGACTCTTGTACTGTCTGGACCACCAGATGATCAGTTAGATGATGAGAACGACCCTTTCACTTCCACTAATACTGAGGTATCTTACCAATAGATGTGCAATCACTTTATAATTATGCTAGTGCAGTGAGCCAGCCAGTTGCGCTAAAATGCAGTTTGGTTTTGCTCTCACTAACTCTATATACTGTGTTGCGTTTGGCACAGGGTGGCAGTGAGTTCCAACCAGTGGAGGTCGGTCGCTCAGTACTCACCAGACTACACAGGTCAGAGGTCATGGTCAAGGAGTGGGGGGCTCCAATTGGAAACCAGTACTACCGCTCGGTCATGCCCGACTTCCCCATCTCCCTCTGTGGCTCCTGTAATAAGGTGAGCTGCAGCTCACACATCTCCATGGATTGGACATAATATCATGCAAGGACAGTTACTATGCGATTGGAAAATGGTGCATTTATTAATATGCAATATGTGTGCGTCTACGACATCTAATCCAGGCTCACTCGGTGGCGATCTCCACTTCAGAGTATTATGTGCAATCTGTCCACTATAAGGAATACATTACATACATTAGGAGTTGTCTTCTCTGTAGATAATTATACCTTGCGAGAGCTCAAACATGTTTATTGGATAAACACATGACATTATCCCTCAGAACAAGTACACTAACTTTACAAATCAAAGTCTGGACTATGTTCAGGGTCCATCTCTGGTGTCATTTTCTTTCTGACTTGAGACTGCTGTCCTGCTGTGGGATCTCTGCCCTCAGACTCGAGCTCTTGTCCCTCTAGTTTGAGCATGGAACTAGTATCATCTCCTTCAAGATCTTTGCTCTCCGACTTGAGACGTCTCACAGCACGCTGCATGGGAAAAAAGATACAGTGTAACCCACACAATTCAAACTCTCTTATGGCTAATCGTCTGTCATCTCCATGCCATTTATAACAATACATGTACGTATTTAGATCAGCTATTTCAAATTTCACTCACTTCAGCAACGAATAGCTGTGTAATGGGTTACACTGCAGTAAATACGTGGCATGAGGTGGAGTACCCCTATTAGTGTGCAAGCTTTTACAATGCTTTCTGTGTCGATGGCGTCTCCTTGTCATTATATAGCTAATGTATATATAACTATTTGTGTTTACATAAGCTCTGGAAATCAGGAAATTTGGCTTATGAGACATGTAGCACTCTGATAAGTTTTGCTATAGCATACCTGACTAGCAAAACGGCTGGGTAGAGTAGTCATCATCTCTCTCACTGACTGGGACACAAGGGGAGCGAGCTCCATTGCTGTTACCCCATACTTCACCAATAGAGAAAAGAAGAGACCAATAAAATAAAAAAGCACTTTAACCATGCTGTGAAACTAAAATGGACTAGGTGGGCACGAAGACGACGCTGCATGGGAATTAAAAGTACAGTGTAACACACATAATTCAAACTTTCTTCATTTGCTATATAATTGTCATCTCCGTGCCATTCATAACAATACATATACGTAACTATTTCAAATTTCACTCACTTCAGCAACAAATAATTATGGGTTAGCTACACTGTAACTAGTACATACGTGGCATGCGGTGGAGTATCTACCCCTATTAATGTGCAAGCTTTTGCAATGCTTTCTGTACACAGCGCTCTGAGATAAGTTTTATAGCATACCTGACTATCATAACGGCTCGTGGCTCTCATTGCCTTGCCTCCTTTAAGATATTTGATCTCCGACCTGCGCTGTCTCCGATGTCTCAGCGAAAGCTGCATGGAAATGACAGATACAGTGTAACACACATAATTCAAACTCTCTTATGGCTAATCGTCTGTCATCTCCATGCCATTTATAACAATACATGTACGTATTTAGATCAGCTATTTCAAATTTCACTCACTTCAGCAACGGATACCTGTGTAATGGGTTACACTGCAGTAAATACGTGGCATGAGGTGGAGTACCCCTATTAGTGTGCAAGCTTTTACAATGCTTTCTGTGTCGATGGCGTCTCCTTGTCATTATAATTATAGCTAATGTCTATATATTTGTGTTTACCTGAGCCCTGGAAATCAGGAAATTTGGCTTATGAGACATGTAGCACTCTGATAAGTTTTCCTATAGCATACCTGACTAGCATAAAGGCTGGGTTGAGTCATCATCTCTCTCATTGGCAATGTCTTGGACACAAGGCTAGATTGAGCTCGTTGTTCAGTAATCTCCATTGCTGTTGCCCCATTCTTCACCAATAGAGAAAAGAAGAGACCAACACAATAAAAGCACCTTAACCACGCCGTAAAACTAAAATGGACTAGGTGGGCTCATGGAGGAGAAAGTAAGGGTTTGTATATAATAGATTCCCAAACCTTGTCTTTGTGGTGAGGATTAGCTCCTGCCTTGAGCAGTGCTTCTGTGGTAGCTGAGTCTCCTTCCTCAGCAGAGAAATGGAGGGCTGACCGCCCTGTTCTCTGTACCATGAGAGAGTAGTTACAGCACCTCAGGTGGCAACCATAGATAGTTGGCACTGCTGCCTTCACCAATTGCTCTGTGGGTTCCCACCTTCTCCTTAATGTCCAGGTTGATGTGTTCTCCCTCCAGTAGAATTTTAGTAATGTCAGTTCTCCCACTCATGGCAGCTATCATTAGTGGAGTGAGTCCCTCCTAATACGGAGGACTGGGGATGATATGTGGTGCAGTGTCCACAGTAACTGTGTATCTCACCTGGTTCTGGAGGTTGAGGTCACTCCCTGCCCTCACTAGCTCCCTCAGAGTGTCTGGTTCATGGCTCTTTACAGCTATTATGACTGCTGTGTCTCCATTCTGTGGAGAGATGAGAATAGATTTCCACAGATTATGACAAAGAGGGTCTGAGAGGTGCAAGTGTAGCTTCAGAAAGTGGATTTTGACTCAAGTTTCAAAAAGGGAAGGAGCAGCACACAAGCAATGTGCAAAGGGGATGCTAATGACACCCTGTTACAGGCTTTGGCTGGAGTGGGTCTTGCTAGCAAGACCAGCTTGAGCCCAGGTCCTAGCCCTCGCCGATCTGATGTTCTTACACATAATTATTATATCTATGGACATAACAAAGGATAACCTATAATGCATGACCAGCCTGTGTGATAAAACGATACATATGTAATAAATAAGGACACCATAGAACAGGGTATCAAAATAAGACATTGTGGCAGGAGGATTTCAAGTCTATTAAGAGTCTGTGTGGCCATTACTAGGTGAATGCAGTGCATTTTTGGTGAGCGGGAGCGATCCAACTAACGGTTGTGTGCATGCGCAAATAGTGGTTACGTCTCCGATCCGCCAGTCAGCGGTTCTCATCCGTGTGTCCCTCTCGACGGACGATCGTGCTGCACGCCACGCTCTCTCCCGCGCCCTATGTTGTGACAGGCGCGTCTCCCTCTCCTTGGCCGTCTCAGAAGCAAGATGCTGTCTCCGGCGAGCACGGTCCCTCAACGATTGTCGCCGCTGTCGGGTCTCTGCGGTTTCTGAAGCGCGACGATGTCTGTCTCAGATATCCTCTGTCTCTCTCTCTCTGCGCCTAGCCAAGTGCCTCTCCCTGCTTTCCATAGCGGGGGTTGAGCTCGGATGCTCCGGCCATCATGATTTCACATAAACTGTAGCTGGCAACCCCATACTATACACGTGGTAATATTGTATTGCTACCAGCTTCCGTTTATTTAGAATCACGTACAACATTACGGTATCGGTGGCAGTGTCATCAGATAGAACAGAAAAATCTGCCGTTGTGACGACTAGGTTTGCTCGCTTCCGCTTGCCAATTAAGTAAGGTATAATCATTGTATGTTGAAATCTAATCTTTCGTGGGGCAATAAGTGGCTAATGTAGTTTTGCACCTTATTCTGTAGGTCCAAATAGGCTCCTGCTTTCACCAGCTCCACAACAACATCAGTGTGACCACACCAGGCTGCTAGAGTCAAAGCAGAGTCACCATCCTGGGTTATAAATGGTAGCAAATAAGTGCACAATAGTGGCTGTGTGAATATAATATCAAAACCAGAGTCTGAGAGGTGTGGGAGTGGCAGGAGTAGCTTCGGACCCTGAAGTGGATTTTTACTCAAGTTTCAACTAGAGAGAGTTTGAAGGAACTCGTGTACTCAGCGCGAGCATTGGGTCAGGTCGATTCACTATACAACAAGGGGGCGTAAAACATCTGGGGGTGCATGGTGAACGCAATGCAAAGATTATAGCAGTACTATAGACTACAAGTAAAAAAAAAATCCTGCGGATTAAAAAAAGAGTGCATATAGGGATCGTATAAAAAGAAAGGGAGACAAGATAGGGATTGTGTTTGTGGAAGCACAGAGATGCTAGCGAGGAGTTAGGACTGCCACAGGTCATTACAACAGCCCTATATCGTCGTATCGGTGCTTTACTACTTCCTCGTGAATATATCAGCCAACCTTGCATACTTGAATTTTGTTTTCTTGCGTTACACAATTTTTCCATGTTTCCATGTATAAACATGTATATCCAATGTTATGGTCAGCTGATTACACTTCCACCTAAATGCGCACTCCATGGAAATGTAGCATGACAAATCTATCAAAGGTAATTAGTAAGTACTTCATTACCTATAGCAATATTCTACAGACTCTCTCATCACTCCCACTCCCACCCTACGAAGAAGATTGAAAACTTTCCCTATCATAGCCCCATACATCTATGATGCTAGGTATTCCCACCGTACGACGATATAGGGCTGTTGTAATGACCTGTGGGAGTCCTAACTCCTCGCTAGCATCTCTGTGCTTCCACAAACACAATCCCTATCTTGTCTCCCTTTCTTTTTATACGATCCCTATATGCACTCTTTTTTTAATCCGCAGGATTTTTTATTTACTTGTCTCCACTCATTTTTATATACTACTATGTATTATCTCTGTGGAAGGGGGCAAGCCCCTATAAAAATTAATAATAGAGAAAAAATTGTCGTCATGGAAATGAAATGCATACCATCCATGTGTGCTGCCGTTAGCAAATTTGACGAGTGAAGAAGTAATTTTAAAGAAAAGTGCCTGAGGCTATTTGTTGTTGTAGTTGTCATGGAAACGATGTAATACAGATGCGCACCAAGTTTCACCTCCATGCGTGCTACAATTAGCAAGTTTGAGGAGTGAAGAAGTAATTTTAAAGAAAATTGCCTGAGGCTCTTGTTGTTGTGTCGTCATGGAAACGATGTAATACACAGCACCAAGTTTCATCTCCATGCGTGATACTGTTAGCGAGTTTGAGGAGTGAAGAAGTAATTTTAAAGAAAAGTGCCTGAGGCTATTTGTTGTTGTGGTCGTCAAGGAAACGATGTAATACACATGCGCACCAAGTTTCATCTCCATGCGTGATACTGTTAGCGAGTTTGAGGAGTGAAGAAGTAATTTTAAAGAAAAGTGCCTGAGGCTATTTGTTGTTGTGGTCGTCAAGGAAACGATGTAATACACATGCGCACCAAGTTTCACCTCCATGCGTGCTATAGTTAGCAAGTTTGAGGAGTGAAGAAGTAATTTTAAAGAAAAGTGCCTGAGGCTAGTTGTTGTTGTGGTCGTCAAGGAAACGATGTAATACACATGCGCACCAAGTTTCACCTCCATGCGTGATACTGTTAGCGAGTTTGAGGAGTGAAGAAGTAATTTTAAAGAAAAGTGCCTGAGGCTATTTGTTGTTGTGGTCGTCAAGGAAACGATGTAATACACATGCGCACCAAGTTTCACCTCCATGCATGCTATAGTTAGCAAGTTTGAGGAGTGAAGAAGTAATTTTAAAGAAAAGTGCCTGAGGCTATTTGTTGTTGTAGTTGTCATGGAAACGATGTAATACACATGCGCACCAAGTTTCACCTCCATGCGTGCTACAATTAGCAAGTTTGAGGAGTGAAGAAGTAATTTAAAGAAAATTGCCTGAGGCTATTTGTTGTTGTGGTCGTCATGGAAACGATGTAATACACATGCGCACCAAGTTTCATCTCCATGCGTGATACTGTTAGCGAGTTTGAGGAGTGAAGAAGTAATTTTAAAGAAAAGTGCCTGAGGCTATTTGTTGTTGTGGTCGTCAAGGAAACGATGTAATACACATGCGCACCAAGTTTCATCTCCATGCGTGATACTGTTAGCGAGTTTGAGGAGTGAAGAAGTAATTTTAAAGAAAAGTGCCTGAGGCTATTTGTTGTTGTAGTTGTCATGGAAACAATGTAATACACATGCGCACCAAGTTTCACCTCCGTGCGTGCTACAATTAGCAAGTTTGAGGAGTGAGGAAGTAATTTAAAGAAAATTGCCTGAGGCCTTTTCGAACAATATGCGGTCGTCATGGAAACATGTAATCGTCATGGAAATGATATAATAGGCATACGTACCAAGTTTCATCTCTATGCGTGCTACCATTGGAAAGTTTGAGAAGTGAAGAAGTTAATTTAAAGAAAAGTGCCTGAGGCTATTTGTTGTTCTTTACAAACATGTATTGTTGGGATTTTGATGTTGGCTATTGAATACATTGTGTATACAAACTTTCGCTCGCATAACTCTTACCAATTGTGAGTTACACTGACACATGTAGTATGCCCATTATAACGTATTGCCCATTATAATGTATTGCCTGGGGCAATGTTGTTGTTGTCTACAGTAAACAACATTGTTTACAAACAAAAAAGTAGGACGAGTCCCATGTGGTTATCGATATGTACATTCCTACAAAATTTCATGGCTTTATCTCTTTCGGTTTTTGAGTTACGCTGGTCGAAGAAGAAGAAGAAGAAGAAGAAGAAGATGAACAAAACTCCCTATCATAGCCCCATACATCTATGATGCTAGGTACCATGTCAATCCCTATATACTAAGTACTACCGTACTTAGTAGTGATAGTTGATTAATAATCATGTACATAGGTACCAGACAAGCTTCGATCAGATAAGTTTACCTTCTTCTTTTGCTAACTTCATCTTATTATGCATGCAAACATGTGTTGCCATGACAATTCTATCTGTGGTGAAAGTGGCTAGTAACTTTTCCATGACATGTGAGTCCCCCTCATGAGGTAGGACTCTGTGTGTCCTCATCAGTAACCAGTATATACATGTCTAAAAAAGCACCTTAACCATGCCCTGAAACTAAAATGGACTAGGTGGGCTCGTGGAGGACTTGTAGATTCCCAAACCTTGTCTTTGAGGTGAGGGTTAGCTCCTGCCTTGAGCAGTGCTTCTGTGGTTGCTGCGTTTCCTCTCTCAGCAGAGAAGTGGAGAGCTGACCATCCTGTTCTCTGTATTATGAGAGATTAGTTACAGCAACTCAGGTGGCAGCCATAAACAGTTGGCTCCACCCATTGCTCTGTGGGTGCTCACCTTCTCCTGAATGTCCAGGTTGATGTGTTCTCCCTCCAGTACAATTTTAGTAATGTCAGCAGTTCTCCCACTCCTGGCAGCTATCATTAGTGGAGTGAGTCCCTCCTAATATGGAGGACTGGGGATGATATGTGGTACAGTATCCACAGTAACTGTGTATCTCACCTGGTTCTGGAGGTTGAGGTCACTCCCTGCCCTCACTAGCTCCCTCAGAGGTGTTTTTACAGCCATTATGAATGCTGTGGCTCCATCCTGTGGAGAGATGTGAAAGAATAGATAAATACATGTCTGCAGGTTATCACAATCAGTCTGGAATTCATTTACGGCGCACTACTCGATGCTAAATTACGGTTGGGCACGCCCCCTTGTTGCATAGTGATTCGACCTGGGAGTGCACAACGCTTGCGCAGGGTATCAGAGTTCCTTCACACTCTCTCTAGTTACAACTTGAGAGTCAGAATCCACTTCTTGGTCTGAAACTCCATACGCATCTCTAGCACACGTTACTGTTTCTGAGGTAACAAGTAAATAAAAATTTCTTCGAATTAAAAAAGTGTGGAATATAGGGATGCCATAAAAAGTAAGGAGACAAGACAGGGATGACCTAGTGGACGTGATGCAGTAGTACAATGGATGATGGCTACATACTTTGAACTGACATCGCTTGCTCATGTAAAATTTCCTCCACACAAGCCCTATATTGTCGCGAAGTACGAGTGTGCTCCCTTGTAAGATGCACATCTATGAATAAGCACATTAGACAGATAATACCATCTACTCGATTTTCAGTTGTGACTGGATTGTGTGAAGTCTATCACTTCTACATTTGCTCAACTAACCAGTTTTACAATGCTGCATTCTTGGCCATCTACATACAGAATCCTTTCACCATTGTCCTCGCACTTCACTAAACATACAGTAAAGGTGGCGACAATATAGGGCTTGTGTGGAGGAAATTTTACATGAGCAAGCGATGTCAGTTCAAAGTATGTAGCCATCATCCATTGTATTACTGCATCATGTTCACTTGGTCATCCCTGTCTTGTCTCCTTACTTTTATGGCATCCCTATATTCCACACTTTTTTCATTGGAAGAAATTTTTATTTACTTGTCTCCTTTTCTTTTTTTACTGCATTCACATGCATGGTGTGCATAAAAAGGGGATATTTTTGGGCATAAGTCCATAAAAAAAGTAACATTAGTGGCCTTAAGCTATCACCCCAGACGTTTTGCGTCATACACATTACATCAGTGCACCAAGTTTCATTGTGAGAGGACCCATCATAAGCAAGTTATAGGCACTGACACCATTTACAAGTTTTTTATTGCCTGAGGCTGTTTGTTGTTGTTTACAAACTTGTAATTTCTGTTTCGATGAACTCTTATCATGGTACATCAGTTTACCAAGTTTCATTGTGAGAGGACCCATCATAAGCAAGTTATAGGCACTGACACCATTTACAAGTTTTTTATTGCCTGAGGCTGTTTGTTGTTGTTTACAAACTTGTAATTTCTGTTTCGATGAACTCTTATCATGGTACATCAGTGTACCAAGTTTCATTGTTAGAGGACCCACAATAAGCAAGTTATAGGCACAAACACCATTTACATGTACCAATTTTCATAATCACTAAGTACGGTAGTACTTAGTATACAAGTAAATAAAAAATCCTGCGGATTAAAAAAAGAGTGCATATAGGGATCGTATAAAAAGAAAGGGAGACAAGATAGGGATTGTGTTTGTGGAAGCACAGAGATGCTAGCGAGGAGTTAGGACTCCCACAGGTCATTACAACAGCCCTATATATATCGTCTTAGACGTCGGCAGATTCAAATTGACCAATCAGATTGCGTAAAACGTGGATTCTAAATCCCGTATTTTCCAAGTGCGTGTTTCCATGGAGACGCCCGCCAAAAAATGGCGTCTTCGATGGGGGTGTGGCAAGCTTCCGCGCAAAGAAACTCGCTCTGTCGCTGAGAGCTCGCCGCGACGACTTCAAACTCGCTATATCCGATGCTTCTTCGATGAAAGGCCTCTCTACGATGCAAAAAGAAACTAAACTGAAGACCTTTTTAGCTTCCCCCGGCAAGAGCGAGTCTTTCGGAAGACGGCGGACCTGGACGATTTTGAAGGCCGGCACGGCCTCCGTCTAAACAGGTTATACTGCTTGTCAATGGAAATACACGATTTAGACGGCCTCGGAGCCCTTAGTAGCGTCTTCGCTGCGCTCAGACAGCTACAGCTCAGGGCCCCTCGTGCCGTCTAAATCGCGTATTTCCATTGACGCGCAGTATAACCTATATGTATCGGTGCTTTACTACTTCCTCGTGAATATATCAGCCAACCTTGCATACTTGAATTTTTTTTTCTTGCGTTACACAATTTTTCCATGTTTCCATGTATAAACATGTATATCCAATGTTATGGTCAGCTGATTACACTTCCACCTAAATGCGCACTCCATGGAAATGTAGCATGACAAATCTATCAAAGGTAATTAGTAAGTACTTCATTACCTATAGCAATATTCTACAGACTCTCTCATCACTCCCACTCCCACCCTACGAAGAAGATTGAAAACTTTCCCTATCATAGCCCCATACATCTATGATGCTAGGTATTCCCACCGTACGACGATATAGGGCTGTTGTAATGACCTGTGGGAGTCCTAACTCCTCGCTAGCATCTCTGTGCTTCCACAAACACAATCCCTATCTTGTCTCCCTTTCTTTTTATACGATCCCTATATGCACTCTTTTTTTAATCCGCAGGATTTTTTATTTACTTGTCTCCACTCATTTTTATATACTACTACGTATTATCTCTGTGGAAGGGGGCAAGCCAATAATAGAGAAAAAATTGTCGTCATGGAAATGAAATGCATACCATCCATGTGTGCTGCCGTTAGCAAGTTTGACGAGTGAAGAAGTAATTATAAAGAAAAGTGCCTGAGGCTATTTGTTGTTGTGGTCGTCATGGAAACGATGTAATACACATGCGCACCAAGTTTCACCTCCATGCGTGCTACTGTTAGCAAGTTTGAGGAGTGAAGAAGTAATTTTAAAGAAAAGTGCCTGAGGCTATTTGTTGTTGTGGTTGTCATGGAAACGATGTAATACACATGCGCACCAAGTTTCACCTCCATGCGTGCTACAATTAGCAAGTTTGAGGAGTGAAGAAGTAATTTAAAGAAAAGTGCCTGAGGCTATTTGTTGTTGTGGTCGTCATGGAAACGATGTAATACACATGCGCACCAAGTTTCATCTCCATGCGTGATACTGTTAGCGAGTTTGAGGAGTGAAGAAGTAATTTTAAAGAAAAGTGCCTGAGGCTACTTGTTGTTGTGGTCGTCAAGGAAACGATGTAATACACATGCGCACCAAGTTTCATCTCCATGCGTGATACTGTTAGCGAGTTTGAGGAGTGAAGAAGTAATTTTAAAGAAAAGTGCCTGAGGCTATTTGTTGTTGTAGTTGTCATGGAAACGATGTAATACACATGCGCACCAAGTTTCACCTCCATGCGTGCTACAATTAGCAAGTTTGAGGAGTGAAGAAGTAATTTAAAGAAAATTGCCTGAGGCCTTTTCGAACAATATGCGGTCGTCATGGAAACATGTAATCGTCATGGAAATGATATAATAGGCATACGTACCAAGTTTCATCTCTATGCGTGCTACCATTGGAAAGTTTGAGAAGTGAAGAAGTTAATTTAAAGAAAAGTGCCTGAGGCTATTTGTTGTTATTTACAAACATGTATTGTTGGGATTTTGATGTTGGCTATTGAATACATTGTGTATACAAACTTTCGCTCGCATAACTCTTACCAATTGTGAGTTACACTGACACATGTAGTATGCCCATTATAACGTATTGCCCATTATAATGTGTTGCCTGGGGCAATGTTGTTGTTGTTTACAGTAAACAACATTGTTTACAAACAAAAAAAGTATTACGAGTCGCATGTGGTTATCGATATGTACATTCCTACAAAATTTCATGGCTTTATCTCTTTCGGTTTTTGAGTTACGCTGGTCGAAGAAGAAGAAGAAGAAGAAGAAGAAGAAGAAGAAGATGAACAAAACTCCCTATCATAGCCCTATACATCTATGATGCTAGGTACCATGTCAATCCCTATCAGAGAGTCGGTAGACTCTCTATATAGGGACGACACGGGTGAAATCTCACGTGATCCGCGTACAAAACGACTAAAATCTCGGTGAGAATCACTCCCTAGGCCTTCAAAACATACTAGCAATAGTCTACGGGCCCTTAGACTACGGTAACACGCAATTGACCAATCAGATTGCGAGTTTAGCGGTTACTATTTTTGTTAGTGACCTCTTCCGCGGTAACTATTTCGCGGCCCTGCGGCACTTTTCTTACGCGTATTGGCCATGGCAACCACGCCTTCAAATCTAGAGATGCCGTGCGAGCGGAAGGCAAACGGAGCTTCTGGAGAGGTTCTTTCTCAGGAAACCCCAGGTACTCCGTCTTCTAGTAGGAAGCGGTGCATGACTACAGAGCCCTAGCTACAGCTCGAGCCACACGCGCACGCTAGCGGTGCGAGAAGCGCCCAGCGGCCCCGCCTACTTTCGCGTTAGCGAGCCGCGCCGCCTAGAACAAACACTCTCTACTGCCTTGCTGGTATAGTCGTTGTTGTACGCCTGCTCGAACTGGCTTCCAGTTCGTCCTCAGCAAAAAGCTCCGACCGTGCATGCGTTGTTGTGCGGTGCTAGCGCTGTAGTCTAAGTTGGTTAGATGCATCGCCTTGGGAACTACGCGATTTAGTGAGCCTCGGGCCCTGGTAGTAGCGCCCTCGCTGCGCTCGGGACGCCGACAGCCCCAGGGCCCTCGGCTCACTAAATCGCGTAGTTCCCGCGGCTCAGCATCTAACCTATACTTAGTGCATAGCTGATTCGAATCGACCAATCAGATTTGTTAGTACGAGGTTCCTGATTTCTCATATGAACCTCGTGAGCTAACAAAAGTAACATGAAAACATGATATGAAACCTTGTTTTTTCTGTTGATTTTCAACAAGTTAAACAGCATTTCATGTAAGAAATGTATCCCGCAAAACATGATCTGTACAAAATGTTGATCAAAATAACTGATATCTTGATTTTCTTTTTCCACGAGACAGTTTTCTGTGTCTGCTTTGAGCCCATCTCCCTCCTTGCCATGTATATACATAGTAGATAGCCAGGCAGCTCACGCCCGCCACAAACCACTGCACGCAAATAAGGGGGTGGGGCTCCGCGAGCGAGTGCGCGCGACAAAGTTACTAAGTCGACGGCGAACGCCTTCGGTATAGCAGCAGCACAGCGCCTGAATTCGCCTCTCTCTGATTGCGATGGTTCGCGCAGGTCTCCTGTCGCGTTTCTTCGGATGAGTGGCGGAGGACAGTCCCGCAGCGGGAGTAGCTAGAGTGGCGGAGCAGCGTATCCTAGCGTTCGGCGTTCAATAGTCCCGCACGAGATGACGGTCTTGCGCTCTCGTCTCTTTCTCGCATCTTTCAAATTCCCTGTGCTTGGAAACACAGTGCGCGTATACGGAGCTGATTTGCTCTGCACTAAACATGTTATATACTCCGTATACTCGGGACATACCGGATTTCAATGAACCCTCGTGCCCTCCGCGTAGTGCCCTCGCTGCGCTCGGGACACTACAAACGCGGAGGCCCTCGGGTTCATTGAAATCCGGTATGTCCCTCGCACGTAGTACATAACATATAAATATCTACATATAGGTTAGATGCGGAGCCGAGGTGACTACGCGTGGTAGAGTGCCGAGGGCTCCCGAGCTGTCGGCGTCCCGAGCGCAGCGAGGGCGCTACTAGGGAGCCCGAGGCACTCTACCACGCGTAGTTACCGTGGCGACGCGTCTAACCAGTTTAGATCCATTCAAACTGTTTGCGAAGATATGGCAGCGCCAGGCGAGCTGTTACTATCTTGTCTAGACCAGGAAGACTCCGAGAAGGAACTCGACATACTCATGCTCGCCGCGAGCCAATCCTCGAACGCTCTGGAAAGATACGTGCGCGTAGAGTGGGCGGAGCCCTTTTCCGCGAAGCGCGGCGGACTACGAGGGAATGCTGTAGCTTTAGCCTACCGTTTCTGGCTCGCCGCTGGTAGCTGAAACCTCGCTCGAGTCTCTTACCTATCACGTCTTCACGCTCGCTCCCCAATAGATCCCGTCGTCCGGGGCAGCGGGATCTACGGAAAATAGATCCCGCGTTTGGACCAATGAAATGGCGCGATTTCAAATCACCGGGATCTAAGTATAGGTTAGATGCTGAGCCGCGGGAACTACGCGATTTAGTGAGCCGAGGGCCCTGGGGCTGTCGGCGTCCCGAGCGCAGCGAGGGCGCTACTACCAGGGCCCGAGGCTCACTAAATCGCGTAGTTCCCAAGGCGACGCATCTAACCAACTTAGACTACAGCGCTAGCACCGCACAACAACGCATGCACGGTCGGAGCTTTTTGCTGAGGACGAACTGGAAGCCAGTTCGAGCAGGCGTACAACAACGACTATACCAGCAAGGCAGTAGAGAGTGTTTGTTCTAGGCGGCGCGGCTCGCTAACGCGAAAGTAGGCGGGGCCGCTGGGCGCTTCTCGCACCGCTAGCGTGCGCGTGTGGCTCGAGCTGTAGCTAGGGCTCTGTAGTCATGCACCGCTTCCTACTAGAAGACGGAGTACCTGGGGTTTCGTGAGAAAGAACCTCTCCAGAAGCTCCGTTTGCCTTCCGCTCGCACGGCATCTCTAGATTTGAAGGCGTGGTTGCCATGGCCAATACGCGTAAGAAAAGTGCCGCAGGGCCGCGAAATAGTTACCGCGGAAGAGGTCACTAACAAAAATAGTAACCGCTAAACTCGCAATCTGATTGGTCAATTGCGTGTTACCGTAGTCTAAGGGCCCGTAGACTATTGCTAGTATGTTTTGAAGGCCTAGGGAGTGATTCTCACCGAGATTTTAGTCGTTTTGTACGCGGATCACGTGAGATTTCACCCGTGTCGTCCCTATATTATAGAGAGTCTACCGACTCTCTGATAGGGATTGACAAGGAAAATGGGTAAGCTGAAAACAGCTTCTACTGAGATGATGTAGGTTTCTCCGTTAGTGAGACCAGAGATTTCAGTACTAGATGTGTTTCCACTAACTGTCTTAGTCCCATTTCCACCAGTTCCCCCAGCTAGGAGATAGTGTACTCTGTACGACACTGGGAGTTGTTCTGGTATTGGAGACCAGGTCACTCTAACAGTAGTGGGAGCTGTTTGCTCCAGTGAGGTTATGACAGCTACAGTAGAACAGGGTACATCTTCTATAAAAACGTTAAAAAAACAATTTTACCTCCTACAGTTACATTAGCAGTTGTTGATGTAACACTAGTGACATTGCATTGGAATACATCTCCAACTCTGCCACTGGATATGACATCTGTCATGGCAGTGTATCTGTCACTGCCCAGGTACCTCCTAGTACCCACTGCCTGTATGTTGGTACTGATGTCAGAGTTGAATCCATTAGGTCCAGAGACAGTCATGTTCAGAGCTCTCCCACCAGTGGAGGTACACCTCACTCTGAATGTCGATGTTTCCGCCTCCACCTCAATAGCTGCAGTTACCTCAGTGACTGGATGAGAGGAACCATACAAAACATCTCTCACTACAAACCATTGATAGATGGCCACTCACTGGGGTAGAGGATGTACAGTCCTAATACAGGATTAATGTCATCAAGCATATGACAGTTGATATATCCTTCCTCTGGAGTTTCCCATCTTCTCCACAAGTAATGAGCTCTACGACCACCTTCATTAGGTACTCTCATTCCACTCCATCCTCGAGTTATACTATCGACAGCATTACTAAGTCCTATGTACTCATAGTCTGGCCAAAGACAAGGTACTGGACTATCTCCGTCAGCGACATGACATGCAGTAGTAAATTGAGAAACTTCAGACACAGACAGTTCAGACTGACACCTCATAGCTCTGTCGAAATCACCATTTGAACTCACAAACTCAAAGTCGTACACACTTCTCTTTGATATGTTATTGTTTGGAATAGGCTCGCCATTCAGGGAGATGGTTACACCTGCAGTGATAATGAGCATGAATGGTTGTAACAGACGTAGGCATCCTACCCACAAAATATAAGCCTTTTGCTACAAAAAGACTGCCCATCCCACTACCATATTCCTCTCATTTGTTGAGAACCTGAGATGCGTATTCCCCATACCATTTGAAAGGGCACACAGTATTGTTAAGCACAAATATCCCACATCAAGCACATTTTACACAATTTTCAAACAAAAAGTTTTTTGCAGGTTATTAGGGAGCTATGTCCTCTATTTTTCTCACCGGTTACACCTCCATGATTCGCACATAGCTAGAGCAATTCTTACCATCCACACTTAGTGTAGTCCAAGAGACACACACTCAGCAGAGCCACTAGCAAGACAGGAACTTGCATTCCTCGAACCTCAGTGAGCAAATTGCAAAACCAGTGGTTGGCACGACTTCTGGGCCACTGCAGTAAGTAACTACACCACAGTTTGCGTAAGGGTTTGCCAAAGTTTCACA